GAGAAATGGGCCCTGGGGACGTGGTCGGGACCTTTGGGGCCGCGGATTGTAAAAAGTCGTGCCGTCGGGTGCGTGCGACCTGCCGCCGCTCGACGCCGCCCATTTGGGTCTATGTCGATCCCGTTCGACGTCGGTCTCGGCTGGCCCGACCCGAGTCGACCCCAGCTTTCCGATGATTGCATGGCGTTGTTGTGTGTCTTGGCGCGGCCAATCTCGTTCGAGTCCAGCTCCGTGCCGGCACGGTCCGATGCGATACACGTTCCGATGCGACCCGATTTATTGATCCGATGTTGAATGTTGACCGCTTTTATCCCTGCCTAACAAAACCGGCGAGGGTGTTTGCAAATCGGTCGGTTTGGTTGCGTCGCAGTCGGTTGAGTTCGGTCGATTTGGCTTGGTCGGTTGTCGTGGCGTTGCTGCGTCGTTTCGTTGCGCCTTCCTGGGTTGCTCGCGGCTTGTCGGTTTCGGTTCCGCTGACGGTTCGGTCTGTGTTCGGTTGTGCTGTCGGCATGGACCGTCTCGTATGGCCTCAAGCTTCTGGGGGTCCGCGCGGAGTTCTTGGGTCGGTGTCAGAGACACTGCCAGGGAGGGAAGTATGGCGCCGACCCCAGAATTCCGCGCAGGCCTCCTCAATCTCATAATGTTTGTGCCATTCTTGCTGCTCTTTCACTGGCCCCCGCTGGCGCCGCTGCTCGATCCCGGGGCCTGCTTTCCTCGCGAGAGGGGTGCACTTCGAGCCCGAGGGCCATCATAAAACCAAGCGGGATAAAGTGCTTGTCTCGTGGAGGCAGGACCGATTTCGATCCGATTCGGTTCCCATGGTCGCATTGAATTGCTATGCGCGTTGCGCAGCCGATCCGGTTTTCGATTCCGTGCCGGCGCGGCCCGATCCGACGCACATCTCGATTTGATCCGATGGCCCGCTTCCAGGCCGACTGTTGGGAGACGGTCGATGCTCCTGGAGCCCACGCACTGAAAAGCACAGACCGCCAGAGGCTGCCGCCGCGGCCTGCCTCTGCCGCTGCTGCCCTGGCGCCTCCGCTGCCGCTGCTACGGACATCGCCCCTGCCCAGCCTGCCCTGAGGTTGTGTCATGCTTTGGAGCCTCCCCTGGGGCTCAAGTGTACATCGGGGGCAACGTCAGGAGCGACTCAGAGGAGGAAACAGCATTTGGGCCTCCCTGGTGGCTGTCTCATTTGGGCCTCCCTTCGTGTTCGTGTTCGTCTCATTTGGGCCTCCCTGGTGGCCCTCGTCACCACGGCTGGATTCACGTCGAAATTCTGGTCAGAATGCACCCCGGAAGAGGTCAGAGGAGAAGTGGTATCGGTATATCGGCGTTTTTCCTTTCCACCAGGGATTGGCTCCAGGGAGGACGCATCGACCCCCAATCGCCCACGTATCGCCGATAGGGGCCCGACAGTTTACCCCGCCCAGGAACGTGCGGTTTCGCTATCGGGGGTATATCGTTGGTCTATCGGTGATGTATCGCCGATTCCAGTTCGATGCTTCCCCCCTTGAGCTGGTCCTCACGTCTCGTTCCCCCCCTCGTCGCCCGAAGGAGAAACGTCGGGATCAAAACTCACTTCTGGAGGTCCCCGCGAATTGCTCGCTCGGCGCTGGACCCCTCTTGCGGCGCCTCGAGCGCCGCACCGCACCCGGCGCGCTCCGCGCGACAGGGAGGGCGCTCCAGCGCCGATATTGCAGTCGGCCCAGATTAGTAGGTCGACCCTGCCAGATCGAGGGTACCCTTGTGTCCTGTGTCTGGCGGCCCATACTTCCTACATTCCTGTGTCAATGTGGCCCTCGGAAGGGTCTTGTGTCCTCTTGGGTGTCCTGTCCAATCGAGTCCGACTGTAAAGCATCTGCGAGGACCTCCGAAGTGTATGAAGATTGACTTGCTTCTTCTCGAAGCCCAGGCTGGATCCGCCTCGAAATTCTGACGGGAGCGCACCGCAGGCCAGGTCCGGGGGTCGGGGGGAATCCGACCATCCTCGCGGCACCGAAAAAGTCGAGACGGCAGTTTTTGTCCTTCAGTTTGCGCCCCCCGAGGAGGTCAGTTTCGTTCCCCAGACCATTCAAAATTGTTCGGGATGAAAAATCGGCATTGTGGGGGTGTCGAGAGTTCCCCAGAGCTATGGAGTGCTGTTCGTTGTTGTTCGTGCTGCCGCATCTGTTCCACTGCTGTTCTGATGATCCTCGTCCTTGCGCTCCCGCGCTCCTCCTTACTATTAGTGTGCTTAAGTTTGGTATCCCATTATTAATCGTATTATTATGATGGTGATGATCATGATCATGATGATCATGATGATGAATAGTATGATTGGTACTCTTATCAGCAATCGTATCATTAGTATCCGCATTATCAACGTTGACAGTATTGTTAACCGTATCAGTAACATCAATATTGTTGCCATTATTAGGATTACCAGTATTACTAGAAGTATCATGTTCGTTTCTGATGTGAAGGCCTGACGGCCGGTGCCGCCAACCCTCTCCAGCAGCAGCGGGGGCACCACACCACGAGGAAGTCTTCGGAGGGTGTCTGGAGAGAGCTGTACGGAACGTTCGGGGCGAGGTTTGGTTTGGGACCTTCCAGGGGCCCCTCGAAGGCATCTGGAGAGCGCCTGGAGGACCCCATCGACGATTCCCAGAGGCTTATTAGCCTCTGTGGGCGCCTCGTGGGGGCATCTTGGTTTTCCAGAGACCTATTGCGGGCCTCTGGCCGCCTCGTGCGGGCGTCTTGGGAGCGCTCTGGAGCCTACTAGGGGCTTCTTGGAGGCCACCTGGAGCCGCCGTCGACCGTTTTGAAAACCTGTTGGTGGTCTCCGGGTTCAGGACCACGACGACGACGACGACGACGACGACGACGACGACGACGACGACGACGACGACGTTGGCGGCGACGGCGGCGGCGGCGGCGGCAGCGAAGGCGGCGGCAACGACGCTGGCGTGGGTCAGAGTCCTCTCTGGGGGCCTCTTGGGGGCCTTTCCGGTCTCGGTGGGGGCCTTTTTGAGGCCTTTGGGGGCCTCCTGGGAGTTTGTTTGGGCCGAGGGATCGATCGAGATGTGCGTTCGGGTGTCTCATCTGGGCACCCTCTTGGAGTTCTCTCGGGGGTCTCTTGGGCGGTTGGGGAGATCTCGAGGGCCGTCTTGGGACCGTGTGGGTCGCTTTGGGGCCGTCTTGGAAGCCTCTTGGGGGCCTCTTGAGGCGATCTTGGGAACATCTTGGGCTGTCGTGGGGCGTCGGGAAGCCGAGAAAGCGAGAACGCGAGAGTAGCAACTACTATATAGGGAAATCATTGAATTCTTGACGCTTCGCGTAGCTCCACCAGCCCATTCAGAAGCCCTGCCCATGAGAGCTGACGAGAAATTGAGAGAAGAGACAAATGTAGTGAAACAGAGCGTGCAAGGAGGTGAGAAAGAGGATAGCGTTGAGCCATCTTGGAGGCTGTCTCGGAGAATCGGAGGCCTTCTTGAAGCTACGGGGCTTTTTTGTGGGATATTGGAGTCCTCTCGAAAGTCTTTGAGGGTATATCGGAGCCCTCTTAGGGCTCTTTCGGGGTCTTGGAGTCCTCTTGGGGCTCTTTGGGGGCCGTCTTAGGGCCCTCATGGGGCCTCTTGGTTTTTGGGGGGCTCTCTTGGCGTTCCCTTGGGGCCCTCGGGGGAGCTATAGAGCGCCTCTTGGGGCCGGCTTGGAGACCATCGATCAAAGGAGGGGGGGTCCTCGATTTGCCCCCGCCCTCTGGGGCCATCAAAATCGCCTCTTGGGGCGATCTGTGGCGCTCTTGGGGCCGTCTTGGGGGCCTCTTGGACCCCTCCAGGAGCTTTCTTGGGCCTTCTTGGGGCCATGTTGAGGCCTTAAAAGCGCATCGGAAGCGAAAGGGCGAGAAGGCAAAAAACATATATTTACCAACGGATTTTGAAGGGTTTTTGCTTCTCGGGCCCGAGGGAGCTCTGAGAGCACCTGGAACCGTCTTGTGGCCCTCTGGGGCCTCTTGGAAGCATGTTGCTAGTTTTCTTGAACCATGTTGGGCTATCTTGAGTGATCTTGGAGTCTATCTTGGGCTCTCTGAGGCCATCTTGGAGCCATCTTATGCGAAAAAGGACCCTCGGACACATCGCGGGGCGCCCCGTCCAGGTCCACGGGAGGGGGTAGGGGGAGGGGTAAACCCCTCCCCGAAGGGGAAGAAGGGATGATGGAAGAGGAACGTAAGATATCGTTAGACCACCTATCGCCCAGAGGGCTCGTGGGATTTTGCATGGTGGAGCCCTCTTTATGTGCTGTTGGAGATCTCTTCGAGCGTTTTGGTAGCCTCTGGGACCGTCAGGAGGCCCTTGGTGGCGTCTTCGATTGGTCGTTGGGCGATATGGAGCTCTCTTGGACCGTCTTGGGTGCCTCTTGGAGCACTCTGGGGCCGTCATGGGGCCCTGGGCCCCCCCTGGGAGGGGGCCCCGGCTAGCCACAGTCCGCCTGCCAGAAATGCTTCCGGGAGGGCTGGTGGCATGCTTGGCAGCGGAGGTGAGCATGGGTAGGGGTCTCCCTCACACGGCCGAAGCGCCCCGCTCGTTGCACGCCCGTCGCTGAAGGTGTTCTTAGAACCAGCATCCACGCAAGTATTGGGCGGGGGACGCCATTGCTAGTGGCAGGAGCAGGACGAGGAGGAGGAGGAGGAAGAGGCGCGGGAGCAGGGGAGGCGCGCGGGGCGAAATACGAGGAAACGAGGAGCCAACTACACACGAGGGCTGGGAAAAGGTGAGCGTCCGTAAAACATTGCGCATTTGCTTGCACACATCTGTGCATATGTGTTAGACATTCGAGCCACAAGAGCACACGTGTAGTACGCATACATAATAATGTCCGTATGTGTAGACACAGATAGCTGCTTATATGTATATGTTGGTAGGCATATGTTGGTAGGCAAGCAGGTGTAGCACATGATGTACAAGTGTAAGCTTATATCTGTACAGACACACACACACACACACGCCTCCTGTGCGAAGGCGCCGGGCGCCTCCGGCCCCAACACCTGCGCAGAGCGCCTCTGCCTCGTCGACTGCGGCGACCACGGCGTGTGCGAGGAGGGGCTCGGGGCGGGGGGCGAGCTGCAGAAGGGTTTCTGAATTACCAACAGTGTTCGGGAGCTTCGAAGTAGTCGTCAGATGGCCAGAGCGCCTGTCGCCGATCCATCGCCGATGTATCGCCCGGGATCCAGGTCGATGTTTTCCCCGAGAAGGTGGAGGGGCAAGAGAAGCGAGAAGTGTTCATGCCACCCAGGTGCGCGCCAGTGAGACACGCGGAATGATGATCTCTCCGATCTGTCAATCCTCCGATTGTGACGGTGTGGACGTCGCATACTCTAAGAGATCCTGACGGCGGGCATAGATCCCAGCGCAGTTCGGACAGTCAACTACCGGAGTTGGAGCGCCGATGCAAGTGTCTGACCTTCTCTCTCGCATCGGCGCTACCGTCGCCAGGGCGGCGCATTCGTGCAACGCGGATACTCAAGTGCCTTGCCTTTGTCATCCGCCGCCGCATTTCACACAGCCTGCCAGATAATTGGCGCTCTCTGGTCAGCGCTGCTTTCTTGCCGTCGTCGCGATGGCACGTTTGTACAAGGCCTTGGCGTACTGCCAGTTGTGTGTCCTCTGCCTCCGCGGCAATCTTCCTCTATGAGGTGAGTTGCGCGCGCGTGCTGGTGGCTTGAGCTGCGCTGCGCCCTGGACGGTGATGCAGTCCAGATTAGCAGGTTATCCGAGCTGCTTGCGTGACGACCGCAACAGAAGACTCGCTGACTCCTGGGCGCATTGGCAGAAGTCAATGCAAGCGGCGTGCTCTTGTTCAACTGATTCTTGGAATCCACTGCCCCTCTGTTATGAGGCAGTTGTATATGAGAGGGAACAGACGACAGAGTGTTTACACAGCTTGGAGGAATTAGTGAATTCAGTATGGGCAGGGCTTGAAACGCCTCGAAGAAAGCGCAAGCACCCGAATCGCAGGCATATGGCGATATGCGGACCCGGGACAGTTTGCTTCCCATCGTCGTCCTCGACCTTGCTCCGTTCTACTTCCTTTCTTCCCTCCCCTGGATGGTGTCGAAAGCGTCCGCGGCTCGGGCGGGGGAGCGCCCCTTCCCACCTCCCTCATTATTCCTCGTTCCTATTTGCCTCCCTGCTCCACCGTCCGTCGTCCTACCTTGTCCTCCCTCTTTGTTCGAAAAGTGAAGTCCCTGGTGCCGCGTGCCCGTATCAGCGGTATATCGCCGTTTAGATATCCGAGCACAGCGGCACAACCAAACAGAGGGGATTTCCCATGCGAGCGTTCGGGGCGCACTCCAAACGCGGGCGGCACGGCCGCCGAGCACAGTCGCATCGCTGACATGTAAATTATAGGTGCCTGCGGCAAGGTCAGCCCCCTTGCCAGAGCAGCGGTCTGTATGGCGACGCGTGGAGCTTTGATTGTTAAGCGATTCATGACATGTGACACCTCGCGTGTTTTCGGACTGCTGCGCGGCATTCTCTGGGGTCCTTCGAGGCCTTTTGGGACGTCTTCGGGCCGTGTTGGTGCCGCGTTACACCGCGGCCGCCCTGGGCCAGGGAAGCGCGCATTTGCAGCTCACTCGGGGGCGCCATGGGCCGGGGAAGTGCGTATCCGCATCTCCCCTTAGCTGGGCATGTCGACCTCGGTTAAGGGTTGGCCACAATCGGGGTACCCTCGAGGTGACGAGCGTCTACCTTTTTCCGAAAGACACAGATCAAGGTGTGATCTGTGTGCACAGCTTGTGTGTTCAGCTGTGCATTTTCGTGCGTGTGGGTCCACTGTTTACACAGATCGTGGTGTGATCTGTGTACACAGACCTCGTTCCCATCTGTGTATTTGGAGTGTGCCCCTCGCGGGTGGTGTTGACTGGGCGGGAACGTTCGCGTTTCTCTTCCGGCTGGTCCAGGGGGGGCGTCGCACGCGGTCCGAATACACAGCTCGTGCCTCCAACTGTGCATATGTTGCGCGCCGCTCGCTGGAATGGTCACTGGGCGGGAGTTTCCGCGGATCCCCCGGCTGGTCCAGGAGGGGGCCGTGGTCTGGGCATGCAAAGGCGCGGGGGAGTGGGGATGGTGGGCTGTGGGAAGGAAGGGGCTCGATAGGAGGGGTGACCAAGGGGCCAAGGATGAACGGGAATGGACGGGAGCGGAGGAAGGAGCCCAGGAGGAGCTGCATCATCGGCGTCAGCATCACCAGGACGATGGAGGCGGGGGGGGGGGCAGAAATTGGGGGCATGATGTGCACCAGGCCACTAGGGCGTAGAGGTCGGGAGGAGGGCCGGCATGTGGACGATGGGGGAACGAATCCCTCGGAGGACGACGAGGAACGACATGAATTGGCACATGGGGGGTGACAGTGTGCATGAGGGGCATGATGAGGACTTGGGCAATCGGAGGGGCATGAGGAGGGTGGGGCCACAGCGACGTGATATTTGGAAGAGGCGGGGGATGGGGCATGACTTCGAGGCGGGCGCCAACAGTGTTCTGCGTGTCGTGTCCGTGCACCCCCCAGAACACAGTGACTGGTTGCAGAACTGCATGATATGGGAAATCGTGCGCTTCGTGTTTCCAGGCCACAGGCTCGAGTCCACGACGCCCCTTGGCGTCGCGATGATGCCGCCCCGATTTGCCAGACCGCATATGGACAAATACGCATAATATGTGTTGCAACGCTTGTTGCATGACGTTCTCTACAATAACAGACCCACGCTGTAATACAAACTGATTCGTTGGCTCACGCCGTACCGACGACCCCGCGGCAAGCGTGGGTGCCTCTCTTCCGGAGGGGCGTTGTCGTAGAAACGTCCCAGCAACGTGCACAAATTTGGGAAAGCGACCACCGTGCCAAAAAAAGGGTCTGGGTTAGGCTGTGTTGGTACCGTTTGGGGGCCTCTTGAGGGCCTCGTGGGGCCCCTTTTTGTGGGCCCTGGCGCATTGTTGCTCGGTGCGCTTGTGAAGAACCGAGAAGGTGGAGGGGCAAGAGAGCCGAGAAGTGTTCATGCCACCTCGGTGCGCGCCAATGAGACACGCGGAGTGATGATCTCTCCGATCTGTCAATCCTCCGATTGTGACGGCGTGGACGTCGCATCCTCTAAGAAGTCCTAACAGCGGTCATAGACCCCAGCGCCGCCGCATTCAACGCAGTTTGCTTGATAAGTCTAGACGCTACGCGTATCCCCACCAGCCCATCCACAAACTATGCGTAGGGGAACTGACGGAAGAAGGGAAGAAGACGCACATAGTGAAACTGAGCGGGCGACACCGGTGAATCGGGAGATCGTTTGTGGCGAAGGTTGCATGTGTTGGTGTTGGTGTTCTTGTTTTTGCTGGTACTGTTTTTGTTGTTGTTGCTGCTGTTGTTGTTGGTTCTAGCGACCAGCGAGTGCCCAGGCGAATGGAGGTGATCAGGGAAGTGAGGGAACACAGAGCAACCAAGGGCTAGGGAATCCGTCTTACCCAAGACGGCGAGGATGGAAAAAGAAATCGGAGGAGGATGAGGAGGAACAGAAACTGAAGGAGGAGGAGGGGGAGCGGGGGGAGGGAGGAGGGAGGAGGAGGAGGAATAGGCGGAGGAGGAGGAGGAGGAGGAGGAGGAGGAGGAGGAGCAGGAGGAACAGGAGGAGAAGGAGGAGGAGGATAATGGGAGGAGGAGGAAGAGAAAAGGCGAGCGGAATGGCCAGAGGCCTACTGGATGCCCCTCGGATGCCTCTCGGAACCTCCCCGGATGGATGAGGAAGTGGCGAGAAGGAAGATGCATAGGCGGAATAGGATGAGGAGGGGGAGGAGGAGGAGGAGGAGGAGGAGGAGGAGGAGGAGGAGGAGGAATAATCTGAGTAGGATGAGCAAGGGGGAGCAGGAAGAGGACGGCTAACAAAAGAGCCAGAAACCTCTTGGATGTTTCTCGGTGCCTCTTGGGATATCTATTGGGCGTTTCTTGGAGGCCTCGTGGGACGTCTTGGGGTTCTCCTGGCGTTGCTGTGGAGCTCTCGGGTATCTCGGGCGCCTCGGGGGGACCTCTTGGGGCCGCTTGGGGCCCTCTTTGGGGCCTCTTGGAGGCCTCTTGGGTGCCGCTTGAGGCCATCATGGGGCCATTTTGGAGCCAATTTGGGGTCTGTTGGCGCCTCCTGGGCGCCTGTGGGGGCCATCTTGGAGGACACCGATCAAAAAGGAGGAGAGCTTCAATTACGACCCCCCCCTCGGAAACTCCAAACATTGCCTCTTGAGTTCATCTTGGAGCGCTCTTGGTCGCTCTTGGGGCCGTCTTGGGGCTCTCGTGGGCCCCTCTTGGGGCTCTCTCTTGGGCCATTTTGGAGCCATCTTGGGCCTCGGATGGCCGTCGGAAACGAAACGGCGAGAAAGCACAACTCAGTGGTTATCCTTAGGTGTTCGAAGGATGTTTGCTTCTTGGAGGCTTCCTTGGAAAGCTATTTGGCCTCTTGGAGCCGTCTTGGGGCGGTCTTGGGGCATCTTGGAGTATCTTCGGAGCCATCTTGAGGCATCTTCGGCTATCTTGAGCCATCTTTGAGCTCATCTTGGGCTCTCCGAGGCGCTCTTTGAGCCGTCTTGGGCCATATTGGACGCTCTGACCGCTCGCGGCGCCCCCCGTCCAGGTCCAGGGGAGGGTGCAGGGGGAGGGATCAGGACCCCCCCCCGCCCGCAAGCCGTCTCGCTCACCCCCACCCGCCCGCCCAACACATACGTAGCACCCGAGCCTGGCCCGAGGCTCAGCATACTCAGCAGTCGTCGTTGGATGGGTAGCTACTGGGGGCCACTCCGCCGCCACCGCCGCCTCCGCCGCCGCCGCCGCCGCCGCTGCCGCCGCCGCCGCCGCCGCCGCCACAGCCGCTGCCGCTACCGCCACCGCCGCCGCCGCCACCGCCGCCACCGCCGCAGCCGCCGCAGCCGCCGCCGCCGCCGCAGCCGCCGCCGCCGCCTCCGCCAAGTGTACTCTGTATTGTTTTTTTGACAGGGATGGCGGGGGGGGGGGCGCATCGGGTTGGCTGCGCCTGTTCCGAATTTGGAGGCAGAGTGTGTTTTGTATT